CAAGGCATGATCTTTGTGCCTACGAAAACGCAGGCGGAGCCGACACAGGCGGAGGCAGAGAGAAGTAACCTGGCTACCGTGATGTTGAACGTAATGAGGGGAGTAATGTGGAACAACAAACTACTGCAGGCACACCTGCACGCGGAACGACAGCAAAAACAGCAGTACCAGCAAGACCTGGCCGCTGTAACGGCCGGCGTCCGCGACACAGCACTGCAGCAGCAGCAACAGCAACAACTGATGAACTCTACCATCACACGCATCAACGACATTGAGGCCAAGGCCTCAACAGCGCCAGGCTGCGCGACGGACGCGATGAAGCAAATCAACGAATGCATCGATCACGTCGTCACCATCATCGGCGACATAGGTGTTTTCAACGGACTGCACACGATCAGCAGCACGGTGGCCGCCATCAAGACGGACATCACCAAGCTACAGATGAGACCGGACGCCGCTACAAAGATGTTCAAGATGCCGCACTTCGACATTGCAAGTTCGACGACTACAACAAGTCGGATGCTTTGACATGGTGGCAACGTTTCCTCACGGAAGCRTCATGCCGCACTGTCCCGGCGAACGACATGTTGAAGGCACTCTATTTGCAACTGATTGGAGGMGCGCAGGCATGGATGAACCACTTGGCGGCCACCCACAAGTGCACCATCGCCAAACTCCACACGCACATCACGTGGAAGGAGTTCGAGCAGCTATGGTTCGCCCGGTTCATGGTCCGCAACGTCGTGAAGGCGGCCATGAATGAGGTGTACACATGCTCTCAGGGGAACATGCCAACTTGAGACTGGACAACGAAGTGGCAAAAGATAGTGACCACACCAGGCTTCGACTTGACGTTTCCAAATCAACGATCCGAGTTCTTCTCGCGATCATGCGCGGGATTGCGGTCGGCACTCGGTAATGAGTACGACTATACCACATTCCAGGGCATGATCGAGCGAACTTGGTCATCCAAACGGACGACAAGGCCGCTAACGAGAGACAATCCCAGCCGCATTATGTGGCTAAGCAGGCCTATTAACGTCCGACACATAACAATGCCGTGATTTCTGAGGAAACCGACGACCACCACGCTGCAGTAGCATCCTCGGGTGATGGAGGAATTGTCGCAGCGCTCCCGCCGAAGCGTCCCAAGAGAGTTCGTAAGAACAAGGCGACACAAGAGACGACAGCGACGGGAGCTGGGCAGCTATGGACGGCATATAAGATCACCAAAGAGGTCTATGACCTACGTCAGAAGTACGGATACTGCCTTTGGTGCAACAGAGTCACCCATGTGACCGCACAATGCCCCGAAAAGGGCAAGGCACG